AGGCCCAGGATGTTCTGCACATAAAATAAACAAAGATGGACGCCCCGCAGGCCCAGGATGTTCTGCACATAAAATAAACAAAGATGGACGCCCCGGAGGCCCAGGATGTTCTGCAGATAAAATAAACAAAGATGGACGCCCCGCAGGCCCAGGATGTTCTGCACATAAAATAAACAAAGATGGACGCCCCGGAGCCCCAGGATGTTCTGCAGATAAAATAAACAAAGATGGACGCCCCGGAGGCCCAGGATGTTCTGCACATAAAATAAACAAAGATGGACGCCCCGCAGGCCCAGGATGTTCTGCACATAAAATAAACAAAGATGGACGCCCCGGAGCCCCAGGATGTTCTGCAGATAAAATAAACAAAGATGGACGCCCCGGAGGCCCAGGATGTTCTGCACATAAAATAAACAAAGATGGACGCCCCGGAGGCCCAGGATGTTCTGCACATAAAATAAACAAAGATGGACGCCCCGGAGGCCCAGGATGTTCTGCACATGAAATAAACAAAGATGGTGGAACGACCTCTGGCTGCTCGTATCAAATTCAAGTCCCTGAATCTGTTTCTCGATCCTGTCGCTTCGCATTACTAAACATAAGAAAGATCCGGCCGTACCTAACACAACATGCTACCCAGCTCCTGGTGCAGTCTATGGTCATCTCCCGCCTAGACTATTGCAACGCACTCCTGACTGGTCTCCCGGCCTGTACAGTAAAACCTTTACAAATCATCCAGAACACGGCGGTGCGTCTGGTCTTCAATCAGCCCAAAAAATCTCACGTCACCCCTCTGTTCATAGAAATCCACTGGTTACCTCTGGCTGCCCGTATCAAATCCAGGTCCCTGATGCTAGCCTACAAAGTGCTTAAGGGTCCGGCTCCCATCTACTTGAATCCTCTTGCAAAGGCTTATGTCCCAACTCTATCCGTCCGGTCATCAGTGGACTCTGGTCCAGCAGAGCCTTCACCAGCTTAAGACCATCCAGACTGTTTAATGTGTCGTGTGTGTGTTTGAGCTCACTTTGACTTGACCGAAGCCAATGGTGACAGCAGCCGCGCAGGTGAAGCCTTTTATTACAGGATAGGAGACAAAGTCCAGCAGGAAGCCTTCAAAGCACAGAGAGAACAGT